GTATGTATGTATGTATATACGTATGTATGAATGTACGTATGTACGTATGTACGTATGTACGTATGTACGTATGTACGTACGTATGTACGTATGTATGTATGTATGTACGTATGTACGTATGTATGTATGTACGTATGTATGTATGTACGTATGTACGTATGTATGTATGTACGTATGTATGTATCTATCTGTGTATCTATGTACGTATCTATCTATGTATGTATCTATCTATCTATTCTCAGGCACTAGTGGGTAAGGAGTGTGAGAGCGAGTCCGACTGTGGAGCGGGCGAGTGCTGTCAGATCCTTAGTGAGTTTATGGTGGTGAGTCGACGAGCTGTGGAACTGCCCCCGCCTGAAATCTTGATGCCTGGGTCCACAAAAGGTATGGTGTCTGTTAATTGACATTCTCACAGTGACGTATGACCCCCCTTCCTTTTTCCTTCACTTTCGATCTCCCTCTCTTTCTCTCTCCCCCCCCCCCCCCCCCCCACCCCCTTCGTCTCTTTTGTCTTTTGATAAAAGACGGAGTTTTTCAATCTTTACTCTATTTTCCAGTTGTTTTCAAATTTGGTTTTTAAAAATCTGACCCAAACATTGTTTAGTCCAAATATAGCACCTCATCTCCACTAAATAACACTTGGTCCAAGCACCAGGACAAGGGGTGTTAAGCGTCTGGAATAGGGGTGAGTAGTGTCTGGACTAGGGGTGTATTGTGATTAGACTAGTCATGTAAAACGTCAGGACTACGGGTGTGTGTATTGTATAACGTCTGGACAAGGGGTGTACAGTGCTTGGACTAGGGGGTATACTATTTGGATTAGTCATGTATAACGTCAGAATTAGGGGCGTATAGAGCAATATATCAGGACTAGGGGTGTATAGTGCCTGGACTAGCTGTGTCGCGCCTGCCCTTTCTGCTGTCGTATAGCTATTCCGCTTGTTGCGTCCACCCACACCTCACCCAAATACACTGAGAGAGAATCGGGGATGCCCTGAAAGCAGCAAAGTATCCAGCGCCAATAGGACAGTAGTCTGAATCCTTTTCGAGAGACGTAATTCAACGGGAGGACTCGAATCTCTAGTAACCTTTTGTCACTTTTTAATGTTTTTAAACGCCCTAATCAACACCGTTTAAATCATTTAGGAAGCAGGCTTCCGATCCTGCTTGAAAGGGCTAACCTGGGCTGACAGGGATGCAACATCCCAGTATAAAGAAAGACATACTTCATAAAATGTCCCCTTCCCTAGCAGCGAAGCGCCTAATTAATCGTTGCACCACAGACGCCGGTCTTACGGCTCTGAAAAGGACGCAATCCCTTCCAATACCGTTTTGATAAATACTTCTCAGAGTCAAAGAAACGTTTTTATACTTAGAGTACAGCAGAATTCTTTTTCCCCCCGGTCAACACATTATCCGGTAAAACAACACTGCAGTTATCGCAAAAGTTTCAAAGCAACCCATTACATCTGCCTCTCTCAGCCTTAACATTCGGAATGGTAAAGGATTGATTTCTCGCCCGCACGACAACAGTAGAGTTATTTAGGAGGCAAAACCTTTGAATAAGCATCCACCTCAGACATGTTTATGGTAATAGGGTGGAAAACATGAAAAGAAGTGAAACAACGTAAGTTTAAGATTACCCACTCAGGGAATGTAGCCAAGCTCACAGCCTAACGTAATACCACCTGGGAAAACGAAACTTGGAACCAAATCAAGGTGTAGATTTTCATATCCTTGATTCGAAGTTGTTTACGAATACAGAAAGCGCACGAAAGTTTGAGGTCGAAATTTAAGGGGAGTCTGAACTTTGGAATTCGTTCGTGTATTTCCTGTCACCACAATGTTCGGATCGGACCATCCCAGCGCTCATCTTTCCAAAAGGTCTAGTCGCTATATAAATGAGTGTCTTTTTGTACAAAGCTTTATCATTTGAAATTGAATTCTTTCACACAGAGCGCCGATGTTCAGTAAAAGTAAAGTGTACTAACCCCCCCCAATTACTTTCAAACTTTATTACCTAGTCGGCAATTAGCAGGGTCACAGCGGGGGTCACAATGGCGTTGTCTTACAAGAAAAGGTCAACAGTGAGCTTTGATTGTCGAGATAAGTGGAGACATGGGAGGGGGGGAGGGTATACTTTATTTTTACCCGATGTTCTTGGAAAAAGTATAGAAGCCGATGAGCAACTTAACAAAATGTATTTAAATAAAATTTTAATCAATAATAAAAGAATGCATGTGTCTCTTTCAGGAACATGTCAGATGTACCGAGTGGAAGGTCAAGGTTGCGACAGCCTCGCAAAGATCAACGGCTACTGCGGCTGCGGTCCGGGGCTGTACTGTAACGTGTACGAGGCGCCCCTGCCCACCACCGCCAAACACGCGCCACCACTCACACGCAGGGACATGCGCCCTTCTAGGCCTGGCTATCATTGGGTGTCTCAGTGCGATAAGACCAACAGCACTACAAAACAGCCGTGAATCCAAACCTATACGAAGAAAAGATGGCCACCGTTCAATTTCAAAATTTGGTATCGGATAGACAGTAGCAATGGAGACAAGAACAGTAACATAACCAAAAACAACAATAAAGATAATAACAACAGCAACAATACCAATGATAACAACAGGCTAATGATTTTAGAAAAACAACCATATGTGAAAGATCAAAATACTACTACTACTACTACAGGGTCTGTGGATTGCAAAATCAGAATAATAATTTGACAGTCAATGGTTTTTATGAATATTGTCTTTACTTATTTCGTTGTTCAGTTTATATGATGGGCTCGTGGACATATTCAAACAGAATATGAGTTGCATCCCTTACTCAAAATTTTACTCGTGTTGCACTGAGGACAACAACACAGCACTTATATGACCTTAGTGTGTTGCAAGTGCCGTAAAACTCTTACTTAAAATTAAGGACTATTACTGTGTTTTACAAGGTATGAGAAAGGGAAACAACGGCAAAGTGAACTTATACAAAAAACAACAACAACTCCCCCCTACCTGAACTGAAAGCTGAGAGAAAGCTATCATTTTTACTCTGTGCCAGTTAAGCTGTTTACAATGAGAAATTTCATTTCGCCAAATTGAGTCAATAATTAAAAAATCACGGTTGCAATAAATCTGTTAAAGCATTATCTTGTTCTTGGAATGTATCATGCTTACAAATGTTTTTGGACATCTTTTACATGGTTATTGAACGCTGTTTGTACGAGCAAAGAGAAAGATATATACAACCTCATAATTTCAAGCAGTTGTTTATAGTCTTTCAATAGGTAGAACTGAAGGGGCACATGTCCATACAACAGCTACCACGTTCATTTAATTCTATACCCAATTCATAAATGAAAGTTTAGCATAACCGCTATCATTCGCACAAATGCTATAGCCGTGTACTAGCTCATAGCAAGTTAAACTGAAATAATAAGAGAAAATGCATTTTCTATTGATGGAAGATCGGACGGAACATCAGATCCAGGAACAAAACCCTCATCTTCATTTTCTAACAACAAACTTGACAAGACTCTCTCGCTGACATTGATATAATAATAATATTACAGCAATATCTTTTTTACGTCACAACCGAAACAATTTTGATAACTAAGGGGAAAAAAGGGTGGGGGCAGCCTCGACCGTGTTTTCCGGGTGAATCTGGACTGAGTGGCATACAACATCCGAGATAAAGACTGGTTGAATTCATGTCTTTTTGGGTGCAACGATAAAGGACATACCCACTGCATTACGAGTGCATCGGCCAGTTTCTTAACATAACAGCAAAACAAAAACATAATTATTGTATGTTCAGAGCCGACTGAGCTGCTTCGGTCAAATAAAACCTCCTCAACGCCACATGAAGAGAAAGAGTACTTGTACAAAAGAAGAGAAACTGAACGCATTTCAGTTTATATTTATTTATTTATTTATTTTCAGCATTCCTTTGCTGCAGTCAGCGTTGAAAGGGAAAAGGAAAATAAGACGTCTCAGTCTCAGTAGGACTGTCTGTTTATCTCGCAGTTGCAGCCAACGCTTAGATCGAGGGGAAGCAGATGTAAACACCGCGCACTGGGTTGCAACCCTGATAATTGGTATAAGTAAAGGGGTTAAAGTAGATACAGAACTTGAGCTTTTGGATAATAATAATAATAATAATAATAGTAATAATAATAT